AATACACACACATATATATGTACATATATGTATATATGTACAGTTGTTGCTGAAACCCTCTGTGGCAATGCATTTGGTTAGTAACCTGTGTATGTATATAAATATACATATAGTTTGCATACATATACATATACATATACATACATGCATACATGCATACATACATACATTTAACCCTTGAACAACACAGGGGTTATGGGTGCTGATCCCCAGCACAGTCAAAAATTCATGTATAACTTTTAATTCTCCAAAAACTTAACTAATAGCCTACTATTGACAAGAATTCTTACCAATAACATAAACAGTGAATTAACACAGTTCTTGCCATCCAGTTATTAGATTTTCACATGAAGATTCACACACATACAAAACAGATAAATTTATTAACTCTATGATATGATGAGTATTTACTACTCATTAAGTGGCAGTGAATCATCATAAAGGTCTTCATCCTCCTTGTCTTCATGTTGAATGGGTTGAAGAGGAGCAGGAACAGGAGGGATTGGTTGTGCTGCCTCAAGGTTGGCAGAGGTAGAAGAGGGGAAGGAAGTGGGAGGACAGGCAGGCACACTTGGTACAACTTTACAGAAATACTTTATAATTTCTGTCTGGCTTTTTCACTTCTCTAAAATATTTCTACATGGCAGCAGTCCTTCTTCCACTCCTTTGGTTTCAGTGCCCATATCATTAAAGAGTCCATGTTGTAAAAAAAAAGTAAAATACAATCTTGAATAATCAGAATGTTTTTGCCAGATTGTTTAATGTCAATTTCTTTTCTGGAACTGTTTCTTCTATGTCTTTTTCCTCATTATCTGGCATTGGTTTGGAAGCACTTATCTCCATCAAGTCGGCTTCTATTAGTTCCTCTGGTCTGTGTCTATTAACTCTTGAATTTCTCCAAGACTCATATCTTGAAAAAAGTCTGCATATAAGTAGAGCCATGCAGTTTAAACCCATGTTGTTCATGATTTGTCTTAGTCTAGATTCTCTAGAGGAGAAAAACCAGGGATTATTTAGATTAGTTATCTATCTCTCTATCATCTGTCTATCTATCTATCTGGTGGTGTGCTGGGATAAGACATTTCTCTGATAACCAGAAGACCAGTGGTTCAAATCCACCAGCTGCTTCACAGGAGGAAGATGAGGCAAACTACTTCCATAAAGAGTTACGGACTTGTTAACCTAATGGAGGTGGTTATGAGTTAAAATAGACTCAATGGCAGTGGGGATAGATAGATGGATAGATAGATATCACTGGTTTTACTCCATAGAGAACTCTAAGACAAGTGGGTTCTGTCATTTGCAACAAATAAAGAAGACTGACATCTTTCCAATATGAAGATTATAAAGTGGATTTCATTTATGTGAGACATGCCCAAAGATGTATTTCATGGTGACTTGGAACACAGATCCTACACCTCTATCCAATGGTTGTTTCCCCTTCAATACCCTGATAGAATAACACACACTGGGTTTGAAGTCTTACCCAATTCCTTGGTGGAAAAAGATGAAAAATTAAAAAATTTTGAATACTGAATAGTGAAGACAATAGATTTAGATCACTGCATTATTTGTAAACTTCCCTTTCCTTTTTTAATTGTTTTGAATTAATGTCCTTTGTTGTGCTGGCCAGGTTGTGTTTATTTCTGGAGGCTTAGATCACTTTGCAGCCCAGAACCATCATTCAATTGCAAATTATGGGTTTGAACCAACAGAAACATCTGAGTATATTAGAATAAAGTTAGAAGTTAATGAAGAAAGAAATAGGCTCTCTTGTTACTATAATGCTGGAGCAGACCCATCTGGGAGTCCTCTGTAGCACACCATATGCTAGTCCTACACAGCTCTGAAGTCTTAATACCAAATCTTATTAATATTAATAACAACAGCACAATTCATTTTAACTTGAGAAGTCTATGATGTTTCTGGTTCTATTAAAAGCAAATAAGCATTTTCCTTTTAGTATTGTTTAGACAGTTTTATAAATAGATCTGTTATTTAGATGGTATGAAACACAAAACCTATTTTTCTCTAGATGATGAAGGTTTAGGCTCATAGTTTCATGAGACAAATCAGTTAATTGGCCCAATATTATGTTTAGTGCTTTCTTTCTACCTCCTAGTTCACTGTGCTGCACAGTGCCTGGGCTCTTAAAAGACTGAAAATGGCAATCCAAGGTACATCAACATTCTATCTGCCTGTAGCTACAGAGGAAGGACAGTCAGGAACAGAAAGAGGAAATAGAATGTGAAGCTAATTGTCCCCATGAACAGCTGCCTCATTTGCCATGAGCCCTGTAGAACTGGATGGTGCCAGGCTACCATTACACAACATTTTAATCATAGATTCTATAGAAGAATTCTGATCAAAAACAAGAAAATAGAGAGCAGAATTTCAAATGCTCATGGAATCCAGATTTTCTGGAATTTGCACATAGAGGCTGGATGATCCCCTGAAGCTACTGCTTTAAGATAATCTTTAAACCTTAAACCAAAAAATGTTTCCTGAAGTCTTAAAATTAAGCAATAGGTTTACCTTAACTAATAAAGAACACCTTCTTTGAACATTGAGCTCTTTTAAGATCTAGCTATACATGATCAAATTGAAAATAGCATTTCAAAAATGAGGAAACTTAGGGGCAGTGAGCTTATGTTAATGGGGGTAGAAAAATTTGGAAAAAGAGATTGAGAATGGTTGCACAACTTGTGGCTATTGTTAGGTGCTTCAAGTAATCTCTGACTCATAGCCACCCTATGTAGAGCAGAATGAAGCACTGTCCAGTCCTGTGCCAGCTCCATGATCCCTGCTATATCTGAGTCCATCATTGTAGCTACTGTGTCAACCCATCTTGTTGAGGCCTTTCCCCTCTTTCATTGACCTTCCACTTTACCAGGAATGATATCTTTCTCCAGGAAATGGTCTCTTCTTACAACACGACCAAAGTATGTAAGAGGAAGTATGGACATTCTTACTTTCAAGGAACCTTCCAGCTGCACCTCTTCCAGGACAGATTTGTTAGTTCTTTCAGCAGTCCATGGTACTTTCAACATTCTTTGCCAGCACCACAACTCAAAAGCATCAACTCAGAGGTTCCAGAAGGATGGCAGAATAAGCAAACAAACTACATACACTCTTCAACAAAGAAAAGGGGAACCAATTAAGAGAGCTACAGGAGAAAATCCTGGAGCCCTGAGCTTTGAAGGGAAGGATATGGAAGTGGACTAAACTCTAACTAGTAGAAGAACATGCATGAAAACACCAAAAAAGGAGACATATGGAGCTGTCGTCTATTAGTGATCCTGATGGCCTGGACAGCTTGGATATTGCCAAGTGGTGTTAGGACCTAAGAATTAACCTAAAAATCAGCCCTGCTAGCCAGAGGCTGCATGGAGGACTGCACTGGTGGCTGGTGAACAAAAGGGGAAACAACGAAGAGGGAAATGGGCTGAGCTCTGGACTTTTGCCTGCCCAGGGGCACAGCCATTTTGAATGTTTACAAGTGGATTGACCATTTTGGATATTTAAAGGACAGCATTCTTCCAGATTCCAGGGACTTAAGAATAGGCTTCACTTGCCGGGAACCAGAAGGACATTCAGGACACAAATGACTGGAAAGGTGCAATATTCCCCTTGTAACTTTTATACCCACCACCCGTGATGGAGGTATGGCTATCCCCCATTCCCACCTACCTTTTGGGCTAGCAAGAATTCCATCCCAGTCTGTGTGCTCAATTGGAGCTTGGGTGCCCTGGCCCACACTACCCAGATTGTTTTTCCTTTTTTACTTTACTTTTATTTTTTTAGTATGTTTTTTTCTCTTTTAAATTATTATTATTATCATTATTATTTTGTCCTTTTTATTATTATTCTTTATTCTTCCCCTCCAGGTTCTAGTTTTAGCTTTTGCTCTCTTCCCTGCTCCAGGTTTCCACTTTTTTGTTTTTCCCCTCATACTTAACCCCAATTCCATGTTTTTCTTTTTGCATTTTTTCCCATTTTTTTCCTTCATTATCCTCCTACTCTACCTTATTTCTCTTATTGTCCTCTCCCCAAATATTACGGGGTTTTTTTTTTTTCCTTCTTTCCTTTTTTTGGTGATTGTTCCTGTGTGTTTATGTGCTGTGTTGTTTTGTCTGCTTGCTTCTACTTTTTGATGGTTATTCAATTGTTGTTTTCATCTAATTGAAGGGGAGACAGCAACAGTGCACATATGACACAACTACACCTGTACTTCCTGCACTTCCACTTACGGAGAAGGAGCCACCACTTTTCTTCTCCACCAAAAACAACAATGCAACACACTGCCATCAAGTTGGATCTGACTCATAATGACGCCTCCTTGGGTTTCTGAGGCAGTATCCCTACAAAAGTGGATTGCCCAACCTTCCTCCTGAGGAGTGGCTGGTGATCAGCCTTCTGGATAGCAGTCAAATGCCTTAGGCATTATGCCACCAGAGCTCCTACATGTACATATATTTCATTTGGGATACCATCAAAAAGAATAATCTACATGTAATCAGAATTCCAGAACAGGGAGAGAAAAACAAAACCACTTAGAAAATTGTCCAAGATTTTTTGGAATAGAACTTCCCTAATATGATGAAAGATGAGAATATATCCATTCAGGAAGTCCAAAAAAGCCCAAATAGGATAGAGCCCAAAAGAAAATCACTAAGACATATCATAATCAAACTCACCAAAAGCAAAGACAAAGAAAGTATCCTGAAAGGAGCACAGGGAAAACAAAAAGTTACTTACAAAGGACAATCAATAAAAACAAGCTGTAATTTTTCAGCAGAAACCATGTAAGTGAGAAGGCAATAGGATGGTATATATAAAACCCTGAAAGAGAAAACTTTCCAACCAAGAATTACATACCTAACAAAATCATCCCTCAAATATGTTGGTGAAATTAGGAGATCTTCAGATAAGTAGAAATTAAGGAAATTTGTTGAAATCAGACCAACCTTAAAGAGATACTAAAGGGAGTCCTTTGAACAGAGAACAAATAGCAAACAACAACCAACCATTAATACACAAGATAACATAACTCAGAAACCAACACAGCTATGCTATGTTGGATAGCTGTGCTATCCAAAGTAAAATAGGCTTACAAGATTGTAAACAGGGAATCAAAGACATCAATTGGCAAATGAGGACAACAACAAACCAAAAAGAGGGAAAAAAATAGTGTAGTTACAATACTTCTAAATGGTGAGGAAGTTGAGAGAGTTGCAAGATAGAATGGACTGTTCTAAACTCAGGGAGAAGATTTTACACCACTGGGTAACCTCAAAGAAAAATGATAAGCTTTCACATAACAATAAGAAAGAGGACAAGCACAAATATTTAGCAAATACTAAAATAATTGCAACAAAAGAAATAATAACACAATTCATAAATATAATGACCTCAGCACAGATAACTATATGGAACAAAGAAAGCAGGAACACCATGAAAAAATACATAACAAAATGACAGCAATGAATTCATACTTGTCAATAATTACACTGAATGGCAATGGATCGAATATACCACTCCAGAGAAGGAGAGTTGCAGATTGGATAAGAAAAAATAACCCATCAATACACTATCTACAAGAGACACAACTTAGAGACAAAGGCAAAAATGGACTAAAAATCAAAGGTTAGAAAAACATATATCAAGCAAATGGCAACCAAAAAAGAGCAAGAGTGGAAAAAATTATTAATTTCTGATCGAATTGACTTTAAGACAAAAACCACCATAGAAAACAAGGAAGGAGATAATATAATGATTAAACAATCAATGGAATTAAAAGACATAACCATTATAAATATCTATGGACCCAATGAAAGAGCCCCAAAATACATAAATCAAACTTTAAAAGAGTTGAAAGGGCAAATAGATGACTCCACTATCATAGTGGAGCAAAGTAGCAGGGTGGGAGACTGGGAAAAGGGGGATTAAAAGTCAGGAACCTAGACAGAGGAGCAGTCAGCTGCAGGG